GAGGTGATGGCAAGTGAGAGCTGTCTCCTGCCCTCTTCACACACACGAAGCGCTCTCACCCGATCCTGTTCATTCCTGTCTCTCATGCTTTACTTATTCTCTGCTAACTGCCTTGATAATCACAGTTACGTCTATCCGACACATTCCGTCTCTTTCCCTCCCTCCCTCATCACGTCCTCCCGTACTTTCCCTCAGGAAGACTCTTAGAATAATGTTTTTGAACCCGACTTCTTGTACTGTGCAACAAAAAAGAGCAACCAGGGAAAATAAAGTATTATGGATTAAGAATCAGAACTAGTTTCAGAAAATGGAAAGAACAAGTACTTTATTGTCATGTGCACAATTACAGTGAAGCAGTCATTGGCAATGAAATTCTCACTGCTCAAACAATGTGTATAAAGAGAAAATGACATAAAATAGTGCAGTTAAAAATATGAATATAATATAATAAAATGTACCAAGCGTTGCTTGGCTATAATTCTTAAAACTGGCAGAAAAATCTAGCCAATGAAATATTGTAATGGGCCTTAAAACTAGAAAAAATGGAAACTTAGTTATTTAAAATAGAATTTATTCAAATAAGCGTTTGGAGTGGCTGTGTACCTTAATCTTAGATGGATAATTAGCTAAATGAAGGCGCCAGAAGCATTCTTTTATTTGACCTTTTTTACACATAATCTTGTTCCACTGTTGTTGTAACCTGTTACTAGTTCAATATGCTTAATATGAGCTGTAATATCTTATTAAGACAAAGTTAGATCGATTTTCTTGAAACCAGATTACTTTTCGAACGCAAAACATGCTCGACAAGATTTTTCTCTTAAGAAAGAAATAAGACTCAGAAACGAGCCTTTTTTACTTTCTTGAGTTTTCTTTCTTGCAGTGTGCAACAATTCTGTACATAAATGTGTCATCTACGTTTGTCTCTCTTTTCTATCTCCAGGACCCAATACCTATGAGGACGCAGCCGCTTACATCCAAGCACAGTTCGAGAGCAAGAATCGCTCTCCAAATAAGGAAATCTACTGTCACATGACCTGCGCCACGGATACAGGAAACATCCAGGTGGTGTTTGACGCTGTGACCGACATCATCATCGCCAACAACCTCCGAGGGTGTGGCTTGTACTGAGCACGCCCACACACCCCGTAATGTCCTCCCCCTCTGTCCCCTCTTCTCGCTCACCCTTCCTGTCCTCCTCCCCCCCACCCCCTCTCTGTTCCTGTTCCTTTGACACTGCTGTGGAAATGATGATGGTGATGACGACAATGATGATTCTGCTGATTATTTAAAAAAAAAGAAAGAAAAATGCAACTAGGTACATATTAATAATGAGGATAATTTAAAAAAAAAATAGGAATACGTATATATAAATATATATATATAATGTTTTAGTTCTTGTCTCTTCTCTTCTCGCTCTGACTTCTCCTCCTGATGTTCTTTGGCCCGCTGCCGAGCAAACTGATTTGTTTTAGTAGAAAACCCGAAACCCTGCAGCCTTGAAAACTTCTTGAACAAAGTCAATGAAAGCCTCCGTTCCCTGTCCTCCTCTTTTCCTTTCTCAGCTGTGTCTTTTGTTGTTAACAAAAACAAAACCTGTACTTTTTTTTTTAATTATTACTATGAATATGACTTCTGTTTTATTTTTGTTGATCGTGCGTATATTTATTACGAGTATCAGTCTGTACACTGATTTTTATTCACATTTTGCCTCACCTTGACACCTTTATTTGTGTATGATTTTGTTTGTTTTTTGCTATAGTAGTGATTACGTTATAACATCTTTTTTGCGGTAATATGTGAAAATGTCAATAGCACTAAAAAAAAACACCAGACAGGTCGACGAAAACCTTAAAAAACTCTCGAGACCTGCTGAAACTGACAACACGGATTTTAACATTAGTCTTTTGTTTACATTAGCCGAGACATTTTAAGATATGTGTTGACATTTCCTTTTTGTTTCTGAGTAACTTGTATCTTTTTTCTCCCCACAATCGGGTTTTCATCGACAGGAAGTGAGGCTTCCTGTTTCCCAAACCTGGCCTTAGCCATTAGCCAACCGTCGGTCATGGCCGCGCCTGAGAGCCAATAGGAAATGTGCTAAATGTCCTATCAGTGCCATGTAACGGAGGTACTGTAGATAGCTACGCTTTTAGAAGCAAGTACACAACGTTATAACTCTACCTTCCTCACTGTTATAACCCCTAGACCTACTAACATCCTCCATGTAAGGAAACTCACTCCTGGTTTGATAATGGTTGATTGATTTATTAATTTATTTATTGATTGATCGGGCCTGTTCTACACAATGCCTATCTCTCTCTCTCTTCTCCTCTCCTCTCTCTCTCTCTCTCTTCATTTACACACCACCGCCATGCCTTTACTTCTCTCGCCTCCATCCATTTCTCTCTTTTTTTGGCCTTCTTTTTGCATGGCGCTCTGGCGTCCTGATTTTGGGGTCAAAGGGCCCCTCCTTTCTTTCCAAACCTTCTCTCCCCTTCCCCTTGCCCTTCTCCCCCTCCTCTCCTCTTCCTCCCCTTCCTCCCCTTCCTCCTAAAAGCCCTGACACAGATAGCATGAGATACTCAAGCCTTTGTATAAAGAGACCAGTTAATTCATAAAACTTATTAAAAAATAAAAAAAAGCTTCACATAGATACTGTTGAGATAATAATTCAAAAAATCCTTCTAAAAAAAATAGCAAAAGACGAAAAGATGGGAAAAAAATACAAAAAACAGAAAAAGAGCTAAGAAGACGGATCGCAGCAACAGAAGGAGAGAGCTGATCGGTTCCTGGATTGGACTGGGCAGGGTGATAAAATAAAATGCGAGAGTCAAGGTTCTGAAGGGTTGATGGGTCATGTGGGAAGCTCGGAAGAAGAAGTGTAGATTTTGAGATTCTTACAGCGACACGTAGAATTCAAACCATCAGAAAAGGACAAAAAATCTCCACCCAATACTACAATGATTAATAAAAGCCAACCAACGTGGGTATTACTACAACAACAAAGATCATGATGATCCTGTAATAGTCTCAAAAGGTAATATTTATTGTGCTTTGTAGCTACAAAACGTTTTTTTTCTCTATATCTCCCGTTTTTTAAATAAAAAGTTTTGCAAAGCATTCCAGTTTGACAGTGAGCTGATTTGGAACCACAACGATCTCAGTCTGACCCCGTGTTGTTGTAATGCTCTGAACTGTGCCCCACCCCCCTCTCCTTTTACCGTTTTGCCTGTTTCCCTGCATTAGAACAGTGTCCTCACTTTAGCCTGACTCAGAACGATTAAATATAATATTATAACAATATCTATTTTTTATTATTTCAGAAAAAAAAAGACAAACCACTTTTTTTGGGGAGAGCACGTTTCTCGCTGCGTCCGCTAGTTAGGAACGCCGCATGTTCACACATCGACGCTGTATAAAAGTCATGCTCCTTTCTTCTTCCTCTTCTTCCTCTTCTGTCTCTTTTCAGTTTGACACATACCTTCCAGGTCTACAATGAAAAGCACAGTTCTCACGTCACACACACACACTTGCTCGCACTCTCACACACACAATAAGTAGATTTGGAAATTTGTTATCTATTCATACCTAATCTATGTTACCCCTCATCAATCTATCTATCCATCTATCTATATAGACTTCTCTTTCTTGCCCTCTTGATTTCTAGCTTTTAAAAGAGAAAACAACTGTGTATAATGACATGATATACCTGTTTTTTTGGCATTCTGTTCCTGTTACCTTCATTTTTTTACCTCCTCTATGTTCTGTTCTTTACCCAGTGAATGCTTTTTTTCTGTGCTGATTTTTTTTTTTTCTTTCTCTCTCTCTCTCCCCCTCTACTCCTCTTTAGTGAATGGTTGTTATTTCATGTGGGATGTCCGTGCTGGAAAAACCAATCGAATGTAGTGTTTACATTAAAAAGCCACTGTTTTCATGACTACAAAAAAGCCAACCTCGTCTCATCTGTGAGTCATTGTGTCTGTGTTTTTACCCTTCAGCTTCGACAGAACTGCTACCATCCATTCAGTCGCAGTGAATATGTGGAGCAATTTGGAGCAGATATTTGTGAAATCTTCATCATGAGATATATGATCACAATAAACCTGAAGCTGTTATATCGCTATCTCCAAAGCCACCAGGCTTCATTGACAAAAACCCTCATTTGACCTCACAGTACACCGGAGTTGCTGGTCCACTGCTGCTTCAGTTAGGTTAGTTTAAATCCAAACTAACCCCTTAAAAAGTCACACAATAACACAAAGAAAGACCAGTAACTTCCATCTTTTTGCAAGGGAAAATTATTTTTTGTAAAAGGAGTCTGGTGGCTTTGAAGAAAGCATAGATGGATATAAAAGCTTCAGTTTCTTGTCAAAAAGGGCTGTCTGACGTAAAAGGGTGAAAATATTCTAAATATAGCGTACACTTTAAGTGAACCTATTATACTTTTCCTTATTTTCTGTCATATAATCTTACATTGTTGGATGTTGATATTAAACAAAGCCAAAATGTGCAACATTTCCAATATCTTTTTCAACTTATGTGACTAGCCCAGGTTATCTGAGCTTGGCTCCTCTTAATAAGACATGAGCTCCCCTAAAAACATGATTTGTAAGATTTTGTGGGGTCTCTAAAATGTTCACAATATGCTATTTTTGCCATACATTTGAAGCGTCTGATCAGCTCTGTGAATACACAGCCACCGCTATTGAGGTTCAACAAAATACAGAGAAATGATAAAGGAAAATGTTGAAAAATGAGTTATTCATTTCCTTGTTATTTTTTGTCAAAGCCACAGGGAGCCAGTGGGAGGGGCTACAGAGCTCCGGAGCCACAAGTTAGCCTACCCCTGATTCAAAGATACACTAGTGAAGTCTCAGACTAAGAATATAGA